ATATATATATTTGATATATATATATAAAATATTTTTAAAAGAAAAAACATAATTCAAGTGAAATTAGAAAAATGGTCTGCTGGGGGAAATAGGGGTGACTGCACAGTGTAGTGTAGCTGCTGGAGTTGCATTGAGCAGGCCTCTTGATTTGAATGGAAAAGCATTTTTTCCAGATTTTATTTCATTTATAGATCCACGCAGAAAGCGTTCCCAAGAAGTTTACAAATGTGTCTTTAAAGTAATAAACTGTTTTCATTCAATACATTTATTCATTTGTTAAGCAAATTCTAGGTACCTGGAAATGAGATCTCTGGAATACCCGGAGGTAGAGTCTAAAAGAAGGCACTCTCCACCAGGCTGGGAACAAGAGGACGTCTTCACCGAACTCAGCATTCCCCTGGGTACGTTTGGCCGCCCAGGCCGCCCTCGGCCTGCGATGCCGCCCACTGCAATACCTAGAGCTTACAACAAGATGTCACTTTAAGGCTATGTGCTATATTTATTTTTCAGAACAGATGTGAGGAGAGTGAAGGGACGGGGTGTATGACAGAGGGGTAGCTGTTGAAAGAAACAGGCTTTTGATTATAGATCGTTGGTAATTTCACTCCAGATGAATGGCAAATGATAGCTATTAGTGTCGCTGATGAGATGAAATAAGTTCCCCTGGACTATATAAGAAATACATATGAAAAATACTTACAATTTAGAAGTCTTTGTCATAGAAGTATTGCTTATACTTTCAGTATAAGCAAAAATATTGGTTTTACTGTGTAAACACCGATTATGAGTAAAACACCTGGAAGAAGTACATCCTAAAGAGCAGTCTGTGCAACTTAAGCATGAATTTACTGCTATTAAGTGCTGTTGCTATTCTAGCCCTTGAGGTTACACAGTGAAGCTTCCAGTCAATATTATGCACGAGAAGGTACATTTTTAAATATGCATAATATCTAAGAGAGAAGTGGAAGATATATTTGCAATGCACAGGATTTTAAATTGCAGCTCCGTATTGCAAAATTAGGGAAAACAGAGAAGTGAATCCAGGATTCGGTCTTCAAATCTATGTCATCTTAACTGAACAGCAACTTTTTTTCTTTGAAAACAAGTTTATTGTGGAGGGGAAGGGTTTCAACTGACATTTTAATGTAATTCAGAGTTTCTCAATAGGTGTGGAATTTGTGGTGCCTAGAACTGGGTTTTACTGCAAGCTCTGTGGACTCTTCTACACAAATGAAGAGACAGCAAAGACAAGTCACTGCAGAAGTACTGTTCACTACAAAAATCTCCAGGTAAAAACACACTTGAAGCTAGCTAGCAACTAGTTCATGGGGTGGACTGTGCATAAGATAGATGATGCTACAAAAAATTAGGTTTTATTCTGTGGACAGAATTCCAATGAAGTGAAATTTAGATGAGCAAGACTTTTCAGTAGTTCCAAATGTTAGCACACTAATTTCTCACTCCCAGATCCTTGAAATCAACTTCTGGATCATAAATAAAATTGGGCCAGGTGATAATTTGATCTTCTCATCTACATTTGTTCCTTGTCGCTAACACAGCATGCAACTCAGCTCCTTAGTTCTCTGGTTTTGAGGGTCCCAGATGTTTCTATCACTGGGAGTGAGCCCAGCAGCAACCTTTCTTATTTCTTAGTTTCAGGAGTATTAAATGTGCCACTTGTTTAATAAAGTTGCCAGACTTACTTTCGCACTAGCATGAATTTCTGCAGCGTGTTTCAGCACGCAGTGCTTTGTGACGCACAGGCTCTCCAAGGCATTTCCTGTGACCCGCTGAAATCGCCTCCCTGTGCTGCAGAACAGCACAGCAGCTCAGCCACGCAGAACACCACTATTGAATAATTTCTATAAGGATATGCAGAAGCATGTAATTACTTTGTATAGTTTCCATAAAAATATACTATAAGCATATCATCACTTGGTAACAGCACACAGAGACCACGGGTGCCTGCAGTTCACTCAAAAGACCCTACCTTTATTGCTTTTCAGATGCACAGTTGATAGTATCAGCCATGAGAGCATAAGCATTAACCTCCCTGTGCTAAGGCCTTCTCAGAGGAGACAGCCTTGCTTCTCATCTTCTTGAGTCCCTGCCTGTGTGCAGGCTGTGTATGCTGCAGAAGACACTTTTGTTGGCATTCGCATACTCTTAGCAAAAAGTCATGAAAGAGCAAAGCAAAGCTGCTCCTTCTTTCTCTGTTCCTTCCCTCTGCACGTAGTAAATGCTGGAGCTCTGCTTCTCTTCAAGTAATAGCTATCTTGCCCTAGCTGGCTAGTAGGCGTTGGCTTTTCTAGTGATGCTTGGAGTCAAAAAATTTCTCTGGGAGAATTTTCTTGGCTCTCCTGAAGTTACGTAGCTGTAATCATACAAAGGCCTCTGGCTTTCAAAGACTGTGCCTGCAGAGCTGCAATGCTTGCTCAGGATGCATCCTCCAAGCCTAAGCTTGAAAAAGAGGTGCCCAGTCTGCATGCCTTTTTTTGCTTCATACAGAAAAATCCAGAGGCATTCACCAGGGGTGGCACCACTCAGTGTAGGCAGGCTGGTGAGCCGGTCCCAAAGAAACTCGTGCTAAAGCAAAGATTGCAACTCCAGCCCCTGCCCCTGGCAACTGGTCCCATGGGAAGAAGAGGGATTTTTTTCATTTTCTAAGTTATTTTGTTAAAGTCATAGAAAAAAAAAGGTTCAACTAAAACTGACTCAGTGTGAAAAACCCCTTCTTTTTCTCCCCGCTAAGACATTTCCCATGAGCACTCTGTAGCTATCTAACACTGACTTGAGATAAAAGAACAAAGACCACAAAAGCTGTTAAAATTAAATCTGTCAAATATGGTAATGAAAACAGACTGTTCTGTCGAGCCGTACCTCTTATCTTACTAAATGGAGGAAGTAAATGTCTCATCCAACTTTTGCCCACTCAGGTGGAAACTCAGCAAATTTTAAGTAGTTGTTTGGTATTACTAGTTGCAATAATGCTTATTTATGCACTGTGCAAGAAATGTCGGTCTTCTGTGATGATGCAATGTAATGAGTTAATTCACCAACATAAGAATTATGGACTCTAACGTTTAGTGTATGTGAAGCTGTGGGACGGCTGCTGCAGACTGCCTTTCTGTTGTCTTGCCTACAGGACAAATGCTCCTGTCCAATGACAACGACATTGTCCCAAATACTCTCATGGTTATGATTCTTTTGTAGTTGATTTGCTATTTGTCGTCTTTCATGTGATCTCCTCGGAGCCACATCCAAAATATATGTTCAGTGTTTGGATTTGAACACAAAACTAAACAGTTTGTTTACCAGTTTTCTTCCAAAAGCCTTGCTTAGATGATGACGATTTTGTCTTGAAGTAAAACAGTCAACTTCACCCGAACATGGTGCCCCTTGAAGAACAGCAATCACTGAAAAAAATTCAACTGTTTCATTGTCAGCCTTGCAGACTTTTTGTCACTTTCCATCCTCTTCAGCCTAATAAATGATTTTCCCAGGGGGTATTTGTATTTACAGATCCACTGCATTTTCCATGTCCAAAAAATCCATCATTTGGCCATCCCTCCCACCACCACCACAAAAAGCTGTCAGATTCATCTGGTGTAAGCTACCTTGGCAACCCAGTGCAGCATTTTATCCTGTTTACCCACTGGCTTTATGCAGTACTCATCAAAACTTGTATTTAAATGAAAAAAATATTTTTTCCTTGACTGTAATTTTGCTATAAATTAATCTGAATAGTCTGGTCTGTGAACTTCAAAACTGGTGTTTGCGGTACTAATGATAGCTGACAACATCAGCTAAAGGTGGTGGAAAAACCTCAGTCTTATTTTGGTGGGTAATCATTAAAAACCAAAAATGCACAGGTTATCTGATCCAATGACAAGCGTTAGTGATTTATTGCAGTTCATGGTGTACAGATCACTTCTCCCAGCCTTTATGGATCCTATATCTCTGTATACTACTGTAACATTTACTCTGGCTTTCTGCCACATGGAATTTTGTACCCAGGGATCAAGATTGCATAATAAGTTGTGTAATTTCCACAGCCAAATCTCTATATCCAGAGTAACAGGGGTGCAGTCGTCAGTTTGTCACAGGTATGCCTACTCATTTACCATTACTGGGGCCCTTTCAGATATACCTCTTACATCCAGAACTTGTATTTACATGAGACAACCTGGCAATCCCAACACAGCCCTTAGGTTTTTTACATCCATTTCTCATTTCACCTATTCCCCATGGATGCCAAAGAGTAAACCATACTCCGGGGGAATCCTGCAAGTAGGTAAAATTTGGCAGTGATGCGAGATGGTCTTTTCAAAAGAAATCAGAATGAATAATCAGCTAGAAAAGAGAGGTTTATGATCCTAATAACACGCAGGTCAGTTATTCTTGCATGCGGTAGATGTGTAAGTCATTAATAAGAACATCTCCACATTATTATGTGGGAATTTCCCATGTGTGTCTCTACACTAGCTGCTGCTGAAGAAGCTTCTTTCCAACCATTTCTGGGTCTGTTGACCTTGAATAAATACTTTGAGCACCATTTTCAGACCCACACCAGTTCATCTTCCATTTTGTGTGCAGCTCTGCCAACTCAGAGCACTGCCAGAAGGCTGAAAGCCTCACTGGCCATATCTGTATTTTTAAATCACACTGAGCACTTAAAACACTGAAAGGCTTTATCTTAGAGAAACAAAATAACTGTAAATACTCTAGCCAGGCTGCTAAATCGTGTTAATTATTACTGAGTTTGATTATTCCCTTAAAACAAATGTTCTTGTGCAGAAGGTGTATCTCTGAACTGGACATGCTGAAAATAATATATATGCTTTAGATTGTGACTCAGAAACTGCATCTATTTTCTGACACACTGGTCTTACACTAGCATAATTCAGTTGACTCAATGGACTTAGTTCCTGCCCTACAGCATATGGGAGTAGAGAGTTCGCAAGGAGAAAAGGTGAGGTGTAGTTACACAGGCCGATGGGGAGCCATGGTCCTCCTGGTTCTGTTACCAGTTCCCCTTGTGGCACAGAGTAAATTACTGAAATTCTGAGGCTCTCCACGCATTAAGGTATTTTGCCTGACACAGCTATGTTTCCTGGCTTGAATTTTCACCAAAATGGGGCTTCTATGTGTTCTATTCCCTTGTGAGATGCTGGGAGAGCGTAAGAGCTCTGAAAAGGCGTAAAGCAGCCCATGTTGACTATTTTCAGTTCTGGTAACAATGCTTTGTTTTTGATGTGATTGCAGAAGTATCTGTCCCAGCTTGCAGAAGAGAGCCTGAAAATGAAGGAAGAAGGCAGCCATCTGCCTCAGGATGACACTGGCATTGTTCCTCACTTTGCAAAGAAAAAACTATGATGTGGATGAACTGGAAGAGCTATAATGAGTGAATGCTGATACTTTTTTTTTTATTATTATTATTTTTATGGTATAACTGTCAATTTGCACTGTACAGAGGAGGGGAAATAAAGAGCATGTTCCATGCATCTATGCCCAGAGTGCCATTAAAAGCCAAAATGCCTGAAACTGTTTCCCACGGTGAAGCAATGCTGGCATATCTGTAAGAAGTGGAGCAATTCTTTCTCACACTCTGCGTGCTGGGAGTGGTTTCCTAGATTAAATCAGAATTCTCAGGGATTCTTAAAGTTTTAATTCTGATGTGACACATCAGGTCAGGCGGAGTATTTAGAAGCACTCAGCATCCTCCAGTGGACGCTGGAAGGAAAGGAGATGTGACTATAAATAGGCTTTAATGTTGCTTAAAATATCTTCAGCCATTTCACTCATTGCCCCAGTGAGAAGTAGGATTTGCGTGGGACATCTAAAGCCATCGTGCTACAACTAGTCAGTAGATGGCATAATATAAACCCCATCAGCATCCACCTCCATGTGTCTTAGAAATGGTAAAATGTTTGTGTTGTTAAGCACTGACTGTACGCTGACTGTGTTGTACGAATGCAGAGGGAGCCACAGTCTGTCCCAGGGACCTTATAGCCTGAACCCAGCACGGCGAGAGCAATTCGAATACACGTGCTGACAGCAGTCTGCTCTGGTTTTCGGCATTTTCCGTGGTGTGATCAGGATGTTCTCCAGGTACCGTTGCGTTTGAAACTCTTCTTTTTGACAATTCTAAAGGGTGCCAACTTTGAGTCTTACAGACTTGAAACTCTCACGAGAGGCTTTTTAAAGTGCCACGTGTTCGGACCATGTCTCTTTTAGACATTTTATTCAAGATCCTTGCTTTTGGGGTCTTTTTGTTTTCTTTCAAGCTTGCTTTTCCTCGGCTTGGCAATGTTGAATTTTCCTGGTTTTCATGGAAAGATGCCAGACTTTTAATATTGTTTTTGTATTTTTATTTCCCTGAATTTTTTAAGGTGAATACAACTGATGGCTCACAGAGTGCTGCACTGAGAACACAGGATGCACCAGCAGCTCTGGCATTATTATGAGCTATTGTTTCTGCACAGTTGTTGCTTAGTATTTTGCAGAGTCCCTTTGAAATGCGCTGTACAAGTTTCTGGTTCATTTCAATAGGGCTTTGTGTAGTAAAGTGAATACGTACGCAAACCATTGCCAGAATTGATCCCGGAGTTATGCTTTTATAAAATGCCCCCACGCAATCTAGACAGATGGGGATTTGCAGACGTATTCCCATTCTTTGCCTGACTCTAATATTCATCCCGGTATGTTCTGTAAAAATTGCTGGTGCTGGGTGTCCTGTTTAGATGCTGTGCAGAGGAAATAGTTTCCCAGAAGGTTCTAGCCTTCCCTAAGAATGACACGCCTGTTGCAAAATATTGCAGAGTGGCTAAATTGCCAAAACCGCTTCCACCAAAGTATTCGTTCCATTATTTCTTGTGCCAGCAGCAACGCTTGCCTCTGAAGTACCCTGTAGCCCGGCAGTGTGTCTCAGAGGTGCCTGGTGGTGTTGCCTGAAGCCCTGTTCCATTTCATGGCCTGTGCTTTCCACTCGTTTTTACCAGAGGTGGGTTCAGGTTTCATATTTGGAATTCCTGCTTCTCACAAGTCAAGGGATTCTTTGCATCCCAGATTCAGCGTGGCCTATCCAAAAGACAAGGGGAAATGAAAAACATTACAGCCTAAATCCTCCTTTGTCCAGACTCAAAGTATGTTAAGACTTGGGTCCATCTGTCATTTAAAACAGCTTTTTTTTTTTTTTTTTTCCCTATGGAAAAAAAATAATAATATTGCAAACCAGGTATTTTTCCTTCAAGGGTTGGGTTTTTCTTTGACTCCTTGTTTTTCATGTTGCAGTGAAATTTGAGCACAGGGCTGTTAGGGCAAGAGCTTGTATTGCAAGCTGTAAGATTACGAAAATGGCAGTAAAGATTGTGCAATCGTCTTCTAAGGCACAGCTCTCAAGCTGGTCATGCATCATCTGAATATGAAGTTCCCTTCATGCCCTTCAGCACAATCTGAGCACAAGGGAAGGAAATCACTACAAATGCAAGCATCAAACCTTTGAAGCTAACCCTGCTATCAAACCAGGGCTCTCACCAGCCTAATGGGAGCTTGTTAGACCATGTGGTTAGGCTTAATTGGATGTGAGACATAGCTGACTGTATATCAAAGTCATATGCCTCCAGCAACTTTATCCCCAGGTAACCTCAAATGAGAAAAGTATCACTGTTATTATTCTTTATTTGTATTGCAGTAGAAGCTACGGGTCCACTGCCTTTATTATAGGCACGGCACAAATCCACAACAAAGACTTTCCCAGGCCAAAGAGCTTTAAATCAGACTTTCCGAAAACAGACAACAGGTGGATACAGGCAGGCAGGGAACGCAGCAGGTAACCATGAGGGTTTGACTGGCAGCAGAAGAATAATTAAAATGAGTGTTTACCCAGGGGCTTATTTTTGGATTTACGGGAGATGATTCAAACTACTTTCCCCCTCCCCTGGTTCTGAACCAGGTTCAACTCCCATTTTTCACAGCTTGCAGATTTAGCCTCCGTTGTTTCCCTGGCCGGCTGCGTTAGACACGCAAAATCCCTTCTTCAGAGTGTGGGCCTTGGTATCCTTCAGCCCCCGATCGCTTAAGTTTCAGTCTCCATCCAGGGCTCCAAAAGCTTGACCGAGGCTCACCAGGATCTGTCCTGTCTCCAGATACCTTGTCTGGGTCATGGATACAGGCCCTCGCCCAGCACCGAGGCAGGAGGAGGCTCCAGACAGCATCTCTGCCCTACACAGCTTCCTCTTCTGGAGGTAGGTGACTCGGGTGAGTGATGCAGGTGCTGTGCCCAGCCCCGCAGGCCTGATCAGACCCAGACATTTGTAGAGGTGGTTTGGACACCCTGTCCCTTTGGGCTCTGTCCTGACACAACAGCAACCTGCAAAACCCTGGCAATTCCCCTTCTGAAAAGGTCATTTCTGCCCCTAAAACTCAACATTTGAAAGCAGTTAAAAGCAGTCCCAAGTCTCAAGTAGCCCCTAACGATCCCAGTTTTCAGCCTGATGCACTTTGAGAACTCAGAGAGAATCTCCTTCCCTCTCCACCGGGCCACCATGCCACGCTGACAGGCACTCAACTCCTCAACTTCTCTCGACTACCTATTCTGCTGAGGAAGAAGGCCGCTGTGGGCAGCCGCTTACCTTTCTCAGCTTGTGTAAAAATGCATTGTTTCTTTTGGTTTATTATATTTAAAAACTTGCCTTTTTTTTAGTTGGCATAATTCATCATCACTATAATCCACGCTGTTTATTAATACGTGTATATATATATATATATATATATATAGCACAAAGCAGGCTCAGCTATACAAAAACAAAAAGGGATGTTTAAAAAGGCGCTTCCGTAGCCCCTAACGATCCCAGTTTTCAGCCTGATGCACTTTGAGAACTCAGAGAGAATCTCCTTCCCTCTCCACCGGGCCACCATGCCACGCTGACAGACAGGCACTCAACTCCTCAACTTCTCTCGACTACCTATTCTGCTGAGGAAGAAGGCCGCTGTGGGCAGCCGCTTACCTTTCTCAGCTTGTGTAAAAATGCATTGTTTCTTTTGGTTTATTATATTTAAAAACTTGCCTTTTTTTTAGTTGGCATAATTCATCATCACTATAATCCACGCTGTTTATTAATACGTGTATATATATATATATATATAGCACAAAGCAGGCTCAGGTCTAGCCAAACAAATAGGGATATTTAAAAAGGAGCTTCCTTTATATATACAAACCACTTCAACGCATCTCAACCAAAGATTGCACTTTTTGAACAGGGACTTTGTTTTTCCTCTCTGTGAAATCTGTATTGATCTCAAATAGTCTTTAATGTCAATCTGCAACTTGCATTCTTTGAAGTAAAAAACAAAAGAATTAAACGCTTGCCCCATAAAATTAGACAAAGTTTCATATTGGCTTTAACACTAAATTAGTGTTAGGCTGGTTATATTCAGGGTTTTTCTATTCTCTAAGGATTAAGGCTGTGATTTGTTGAATTATACTTGAACTGGACCAGATGTACTATTTATTGAGCTTACATAATCTTGTTAATTTAAGTTTTGGCTTGTAAACAGTTGGAATTTGTTAGTACTTGTTTAATTATGTAGGAACTGTCACCAATATTAACTGATCTGTGTAACTGATTGCAAAGTGTTTCAATTTGTGTTTCTTAAAAAGAAAGATTTTAATAAAGAGAATTATAAAGCATATATGTCGGTGGGCAGTTGTCCCAGCAACAGCATGCTTCCAGCTTCCCAGGGGATCTATTAAAAAACCAAAATGAATAAAAGATAGTTTGGGGGGTAAGAAGGAAGCAGGAGGCCAAAATGTTTGCTTTTAAATATAATTTCTGGAAGTTGTGATTCTTACCAGGTAGCTCCCGCCACGCAGATCGCAAGTGATTGCCGTCGTCTAATCCTGCCGTTGAAGTGAAAACATCTCAGCCGTTCACTCTGTAATTATTATTAATTGTTATTACCCTCTCCTGTCCCTCTAGATACATGTCCTCACTTCCCTTTTTCTCTTTATTTCTGAATGAACTGGGCAAGCTGTCTGTCCTCACTGGCTTCTCTCTGTCTCCATCCCGGTTGTCTTCTCATCCTTGTGAAGGCACCATATCAAATTGTCCCCAGCCAAGCACCTTCTCCATCTCATCTCAGTCCAAGTCCCCCTCTTCGCCCCTTTACCCTGTTTCCCTTGTGCTCTCCCTCTGACGATTTTTCTTCATTTTTTGCAACTGTCCTCCCCGGTGCCCTCCCAGCTCCACGGGGACCTTTCCCATTCCCTGTCCTTCCCCCTGCCTCAGCTCCATCACCAGCAACCGGAGCTCCTGGGAGAAAATACCCACCCTCGGACAGGGTGATGTAAAGACGTGCTTGTACTAAATATTTAA